TTGATAATCATTTCAGTCATTTATCAAATATGATGATTTCCCACTATTCTCTGTTTGAGGATGTCACTTTGGGCTCTAGGGAACTGTGATGGGCACACTTTTCTGACAATAAATCAGTTCATTTAAAAGTGATCAACAGATTAATCCCAGCAATAATGAAAATAGTTGCAACCCATACATGCTAGAAATGTGTATTGTGAATTATACATGTTGCCCTATATTTGTTACTTCATACTGCACATATAGCACAGAGCAGAAATAAAAGTATACTTGAAGATAAACATTTAAATGGGTTCAATTCAATTTTCAGAAATGTATCATTTTGTTTTTAGGTGTCACAAACCAAAACTCAAGCTATATCAGTCTCTTAAAAGGAGTATAACATTCCCTCCTTTAGTACTTAATTAATTACTTAATTACACTGTTATTTATCAGAGCCATGGCTAGCAGGTTTGTTCATCTGTTATCTTGGTCAAAATACTGTATCTTTGATTACAGTAGATCTAATGCATAAATTCTGAATATTGTACAATTTATACTGAAAAGTTTAGATAATTAACGAGAGAAAAAAATGTCACAATCCAGTATAAGAGCATTCAGCGGAATATTTTTAGCAGTTACGGTCATGTAAACAGTGTGTTCTTGAAATACTTGTGACTTCCGTTCACTATGATTCCCCACCATATCTGCTGTCAGTGGGTCTTAAATGCTGGCAGGCAACACAATGTACAATGACGACTGAGAGGAAGAGTGAAAAGGAAAGAAAGACCACTACCAAGCTGGAAGGATGGCAGCCTATAACTGAGCTGCCTACTTCCTTTTCAGCAGTACAGTAAATTGTGCTATGAAGGAAATGAGCTCAAGAAAAGCACTTAAACATTTATAGTTCACATGAATATGGCTAAATCCCAGTGGCCTTCAGTAGCTGTTCATTGTACTCAAATGATATGGTTTGTCAGTTAAGGAGTGAAACAATTAATGCCAGAATCACACAGCCATTATTTGAAGAGTGACACCTGCTCCACAAATATAAAGGATCTATATCTATATCTATATGTTTGGACTTTTTTTTTGCCAATACCTAACTTATATTATTTCTTTTTTTTAATATCTAGACTGTGTCTGTAATGTAATTTGTGTGTTTGTCTTTTTACCTTGCACCATTGACTACTTGTCTGTTTCTCAGATCAATGCTTCAAGCGAAAATATGTTAGATAACATGAGGAATGAATGAATGAATGATTGAATATGATGTTTTGGTTTCTTCTAGTGTTGCCATGACTATTTTCACTATTGAAAATACTGCAGACTAGTTTTTCGATTAAACGTCTGATCTATGAAATGTCAAGAAAAGGAGAAAAAAACTGCTTCAATTGATGCACTTACGTTAGTTGATGAACACACACATTAACAGATGCAAGCCTTGAGCATATGCGAACTGAGAACATGTCCATGTCTATATAAAACATACTTAAAAGGTGCATTCTCACAAATATTGTGCTCTCATGAAAACCACCCCAGTGGAAGCCTCAAACATCAGCAGTGTTGGAGCTGACATGGACTTCACACGTTTCACAAAGACAAGCTCCATGAAACAAAAACAACTGCCTTTAATTACGGGCATATTCAGCAATGATTTATGGTCTCTCTATTTCTCAGTATGCCTCCACATGTGTTACAGCAGCACACACACACACACACACACACACACATACACATACACATACACATATCACCTTGACCTTACCCTTGTCTTAACCAGTTGGCATTTTTTTCCAGTACCAGTATTTGCCTTTATAGGTGTTGACTCTCACAACAAAAGCCTGTCACACTGACCCAGACATGTGCCAGCTCAACGTGTAAGATGTCATTTATCAAAACGTCCTCCTGACCTATACCACTAAAACCACATCATTGCCATGTCACAGAAAGACATAAGTCTTTCACATACATCAGAGTAACCAGCAAAATGCTTCAGATCGAGACAGTGAATGTGGAACGTAGAGAAGGTAAAGAAAAACATTCCACCTCTCACCACTCACAGTAAAACTCTAAGAATACACCAAGGGTGGCCGGGTGATTATCCTGGTAATCCATGAAAGCATTTGGGCCAGAGCCACTGGTCAGGTTTGTTAAGTGGCTCCTCCAGCCCCAGTTTTTCTGCCACTATCTTGTACCCAAAATCAATTCTTCATGAGGCTAATAATAGGAATTATATGCCCAAACACATTGCATTCACAAGAAAAAATAAATAAAAATAGGAAATGTTTGCTCATAATCATTACCTCTGTACGTCATAGTCGTGACTTAGTATGTCATAATTATGGCAAGACAAACTCTTGTTGTACTATAAAGTTGTACTATAAATAATATCAAGCATTTGTCCAATGTAACACATGCTCTTACAAATAACTGCTGGCATCAACACAACATTTACTGTTTAAGACTCAGACTATTCCAAATCCATCTGAGCTTTTACCTGTGATATGCAACTGCTACCAGGATAGAAGAAAGAGTTTTATTAGAGAATACAACACACAACATTTCAAAATAGTAGTACAAGAGTGTCAGTATGAATGTTGGGTACTGAAAAGAAGTTACAGCTCTGAGATTAAAGATAAAGATACAGAGAATCCTTGAATAAAGTAACAAGAGCGGTTTCACTCTTTTTTTTCCCCTTTCCGCCGACAGCTGCATTTTCATTACAGGGGAGAATGAAGACCAAAAAGATGGAGGAGAGGAAACGTATAGAGAGAGAGAGCATAAAAGCCTGTTCTATAGAGATGGCACAAAGATGACCCCCTTCACCAGAGAGGATAAAAAAAAAACCTTTGATTTCCAGAAGAGGTGGACCACGTCAACAGATAGTGGTGGTACACTTCTTTTCTAAAGCTGTGTGTCTCTTTCAAACATGGCAAGTTTCATGTGACAAACTCAAACCTACCGTAGCGTATTTATGAAAAATGTGTGAGTTGTGTTACATTTGATGAAGATTTATGGCAAGTTTCAGTACCAAACATGCATTACATGTTTCTTGTCTTTATTTAAGATGATGCTGCCCCTGTTACAGGGGCAGCATCATCTCTGGAGACAAGACGCTGCTTTCTGGTACTCTAAATGTCAAATCATTCAAATGGCACATGCCTGCCTTTGACACACAGAGGTGGTTTGCCTGGGTGTGTGTGTGTGTGTGTGTGTGTGTGTGTGTGTGTGTGTGTGTGTGTGTGTGTGTGTGTGTGTGTGTGTGTATACGTACAATGTGGCTGTGAATATGGATCTAAGCCTAGTACGGTAATGCTAATATGCAATGTTCGGTGTCTGGATAGCTTTGGTACTAGGTTAGAGAGACAGACAAAGTTAGATAGGGAGTCTCTCATGCTGTCGTTGTGTGTGCATGTGTTTGTGCATATGTGTGTGTGTGTGTGTGTGTCTATGAAATCCTAGTCCTGCCAAGACTTGTAAGCTGCTATGTGTGCGCGTGTCTGGCTCTATTTTGTTTCCTGTAACACCCATTAGAACAGAACACAGTGTCATGGTGAAGATATGCACCATGTGTGTGTTTGTGTGTGTGTGTGTGTGTGTGTGTGCATGTGTGTGAATGGTTTTTACCTCCTTTCTGGCCAAAATTAAAGTTTGATTATCAGAATCAATAATAAAGTAAATCACAGAGAAACAAAAATAAAAATGAATGTTTTGTGTGAGCTTGTGTGTGTGTGTGTGTGTGTGTGTGTGTGTGTGTGTGTGTGTGTGTGTGTGTGTGTGTGCACGTGTGTACGTGTGTGTACGTCTCCTTGATGTTGGCAGAGACAGCCTGTCCCCTGGCCCACTGCCAGTGGAAATTAATGTCAGGATCGGCTTACATTTAAGTCATATGTAGCATCATTGTAGAGAAGTGGACAGACAGTTACCAGCTGAGCAACTGACCGACAACCCCACTGGTTGGACAATGAAGTCATATGAAGAGAGAGAGAGAGAGAGTATGAGTGATAGAGAGAGATGACATACGCTATGCATGATAAAAGTTTGTTTATTTTCTTGTCCCATTAAGGAAAATAAGTTTTATAGTTGACCTTTTAATGTCTTTCTCAGGGCATTTCAGGGACAGAGCTAGCTGCTACCCTGTGGTATATTAAGGAAAATGAAAAGCAGGCGTGTGTGTGTGTGTGTGTGTGTGTGTGTGTGTGTGTGTGTGTGTGTGTGTGTGTGTGTTTGTGTGTGTGTACGTTTGTTTTTATGTGTTTGTTTGATGTGCATATAACTTCTTTTCAGATGTTAAGGAATAACCGAATGTGTGCACCCAAGTGTTGAGCGGATGCTGTGGTGTCATGGGGGCTTTTTCTTCTTCTTAATGCCACTTGAGCATTGTGTGTGTGTGCATGTGTGTGTGTGTCTGAACTGGAGAGAGTGAGAGCGGAGAGAAGAGGATGGTACAGAGGAGGGAAAAGGGACAACAGCAGAAATAAAGAGAAAAGACAAAAAGGAAAGGGCAACCACTGGGATCAACAACAGACGTGCTCCTGCCGACCTAAAACCCGCTGTGGACAAGGAACCATGTGGGAAAAGAGCAGAGAGGAAGAGAAAAGAGTGGAACAGTGGATCACAGGGGAATAGTGAGAACCTTTTCTTCTCAGAATCAAACAGACACAGGCCCTCTGCCCAGAGTCCCTGCTTTCTCTGGCCATCCAATTTAATGCTCCTCTGGTCTGATCTAGTATGGAACTGTTGATTTTCATTGTGTAACTGTGTTATATACAATTACTGGAACACAAAGTTTACCTTAGGGGCAATAAAGTTTTATGATATACAACACAACTAAACAGAAAGTTTAACTCTTCACTACTCTTGCATACATTTCAAGCCCTATGCTTTTGAATCTGACTCAGGATAAACTTAAATACTCTAGGCAGAACGGACCACATCAGTTTATTACAGTGTTAATTCACAAGGTTTTCCCGCGCTCAAACAAACAAATAAACAAAACCTTTTCCATACACACCCACCTTTTAGCACAGCGTGGCTGTTTGGACCCTGGGGCAAAGGGTAGGGCAGGGCAGAGCGCGCACCAAGAGCGGTTGTAGCCTCTAGCAGGGCTCCGGTCAGGAGGGAACACACCGATGTCCTCTGGCCACAAGAACGATAAAACCTAGAAATGAAGTGTCAAGAGGAAGAAAATCATGCCCAGTGTCTACGTACTGTAAAGTGTTTGCCTGCCTTTGCTTTTGTTAACAGGCCAAAACAGCCAGTAGGAGGCCTAATAGCAGGCTGTCTGGTCACTTGAAGCATTCACAACGAGTATCTGTGAAATATACAACATCAAAGCTTTACACTGACTTCTAAACTGTTTAAAAATTTGTATCTAGTAGATGTCTGGTATGCATTCTCATGATCTACTATACATACAGTATGTTAAGTAATTGTAGATGGCATTTGCAATAGATGATGAGTAAGCAAGTCTTAAGACAGACTTTCTAGTGACTGACTGTATTTGTCTCTCACATTCTCACATTCAGAAAACAAATCAATTTATCTGACAGTTATTCTCTAATCAATTAATCATTTGGTTAAAGTCCATTGTTTATTTATCTATTATTTATGTCCATCACAATTTCCTAAAGCCCAGGGGATGCCACCTTGTTTCGTTTGACCAACAGTACAAAAATATCCTCATTCTTTAGTGTTTTTTTTTTTTTTAAAACTAAAGTGCTGTTTTACTCATCACCAACCTGTTTTATGTAACTAACACACATTACAGCCACCATAAATTACGGTATTATTTTTTTCCACTTTTAAGTTGCTGTTAATCATCTACCTTCACTTAATTTTCTAAATGTTGAACTGTTAACAATGGACAAATTCACAGCATCTCCAGGACAAAATCTTGATGCACATGATGCACAAGGACCAAAAGGGAAAACTTGCTAAGATTGGTGTAGTTTTTTAACATGACTGGAAAAACTATATAAGGCAAGAAAAAGAACCACAACAGCTACAAACCCAGGTGGCGGAGAGGGATCACAACACCAGGGATTAAGGAAGGAGCTCTGATCAGGTCTGGCACAACAAGACTCCCTGAGACACACACATCCAGGGCAAGACAGCAGTAGCTTTTTGGCGGGATGAATCAGGTTGACTTCTTCTCTGTCCTGCACGCAGTTGGTAACCTGTAAAGGAAGTGATTGACAAGCATGTCTCTTAGTGGGAAGCAAAACTGGCAAAAACCAGAGTTTGAGAAGTCATCAGAGCTGTGCTGGCAACCTCACAACTGTCAGTCATTGAAAAATATTCAGTTCAGTTAGATCTCCTGTGGCAAGAAAAACACAAACTGCAGTTTTCACCAGGATTGTCTCATTTTGCTACAAACAAAAACTTCATCAGTAATTTGAGAGATCACATAAAAAGTTTTAAATCCAATTGAACTCCATCAACCTTCGAGTGTGCATGAACAGAATAACTGAGATGAAAGAGTCACACAAAAGCTTCAAGGCAAAATCCACTTCATCTGGAGCTGTTTTTCACCTTTCAGGCTGTTATATAACATTTGAATCAGAGGTCATTGTCATCAGCTCCTCTTCTGTGGTCATTCTCAGAAGCAATTTCCTCTTGACAGAGCAGAAATCAAAGCGTGAAAAGAAAGAATTAATAGAGAGAAACACCACTGTGGCACATAACAGATAGGAAGAAAGGTGGGAAAACGGATCCAGACAGAAATCATCTGAGCGAGACGCACTGATAAGGTGGGTATACAGAGAGGGAAAATAAGCAGCAGACAAAAGGTAAAGACAGAAAGAAGAGACGTCACTGAGGAGTTTTAACTGAGTGAACGTTTTGACCTTAAAGAAAAGCCTCCTCCTCTTTCCGTTCACACTCTTCTTGGAACAAAATCCATTTGACATAAAAGGAAACACTTATCCAAAACGAGTGGCTTGTTCTTTGTCCTTGGGTGAACCTGCAGATGAGCTCTTCTGCTACGAATTTCAGAGAAAAACCATTAAGGCAACATTTTGTGGCAATGTAAGTGGGCAGTAATGCCCTTCAGCGGCGATGGATATTACAAAATCGGACAAAATCAATACTGGTGACAGAGTGGGGGATGAATACAATACAAGTTTAATGAGAAAATGCAGCTTGAGCGGAACTGTCATTGACAGTGTTGATCAGCACTGCCTCACACTATTGCCAAGAAGGAGGTAGGTGAAGGCTAACACCCACAGGATTATTCTCATATAAAGTACATGTGAATCTGTGATCACTCTTTTAAAAAATGTCCTGTTTGTATTAAGCACAGGCTGGCAGTGCAGTGGCATAACATACACATACACACCCACAAACACACATAGTGCAATGCCAACTCGGTCTCCTAATGGGATGGGTTTCCTGCATGGGGTGTAGGCCTCGCTGTTGTCAGATCTGAGCCATCTCCAGGGAGAGGAGACATACCAGCCTGCACGTTTGTAGAGTGAGAGAGCCAGAGTCAGAGAAAGGGTGAGACACAAAACACACACACACACACACACACACATACACCTCCTTTCTCAGTAACAAGCCAATTATGGGAGATACACTGTATATTGACCTACATTCCAGAAACAAGCTTATTCCTAAAAAGCTGAAACTTTCAACGATATTAGGAAATCAAACATTGTGATTAAATCCATTTGGACTAATAGCTTCTCTGATATTTTCTTTCCTTATCCAGAACCTTCACTGACTCACATTTCTGGTAGAAGACCTCACTTGCTCTATCAGCATGCAGAGACTGTGCACGTCCACTGCACAGACATGAAGTCTCCTACGTTAACACTGTATTCTTCCACATTCAAAAGGAGCTAAAAGCAACAACTTGGCCTCAGTTATACATAACACTCATGCCTTTACTATGTACTCTACATTTAGATGGCCATGTTTTTAGTTAATTATGGCTGGATTTTATGTTTTCCTGTTGCTAATAAACAAACAAGCCAGGAATCTTGGGTAGAGAAGTTATTAATGCTATTTTGCTTGATTACTTGAATATTTCTGTACTGAGTGAGCATCAAAGCTTTAAAAACACCATTGGAATAAACTGCCTTGAACAACAACTTATATGGGGTTTGTATTTGTGTCTATAAATCATTATTCCACAATGCCTGTGCCAACCACCACCTCAGTACACAGAGTCTATCTTTGTGTACAAGCCGTTCTGCTAATTGACTGAAGTTTTCTGCAGCACTCAAGAAAAATGGATAAAAGGACCATTAAGAAAATGTTGCTGGGTTGATGGGTGATGATATTTTTGCCTTGTATGGTTCGTATTCATTATATTCTATCCTGTTAAACTTAAATTTTTGGCAGTTAAAGAACACTTTATTAAGGCAACTTGATAGGATCACTATCTAAATCAGGGTTCAACAGAGCCAACATACATATTGTACATATTCAACTAAAGTCAATGATAGTTGACATTTTGTGCTGTTTAAAGATAAAGTATGACTTATATTGGCAATGAATGACCACTACTGAAAGTTTCCCCTGGGATTTTCATTACTTTGTATTGCTGTCGTCTACAACCGCATGAAGGCCTTAACGAAACAACGAAACAATGAATACTAAACGAACTATTAAAAGATAGAGCCCCTTCAGTGCATCTGGTGGAAACCTCTGGGATATGATTGTGGACTATTAAAGAGATGATTATTAAAATGGGGCCAGGTTATCCAATCTCTGTACTTACTTTACCTACTATTTGTATGTTTTCTCTGCCACTGAACGTGGTTATAATAGAGGTTATAATAGAGGTTATAATACACCCCCTGAGCAGCGTGACATCTTTAGGGCAGATTGGAGGCTACAGTGAGTTGCTATCAAAAAGTGACGAGATGGGCCGGGGCTAGCTGGTTAGCCTGCTAACTTCAGTAGAATAAAGACATGATAGAGACGAGAGTTAACATTGGCGTCTCTTTCCATCAGTGGAGACAGCAGTAAATGAATGAAATTTGATGATGAACTCACAACGTTTCTTCTAGATTGGTAAGTAAACAGCTGTTAATACTAACATTGGCTATGCAGTGATAGCAAATCTTACAAATATGTCCTTTAAAGTCAATTTCTTTCCCTTGTTTTCTTTTCTTTCTCAACATGATGACATTTAAAAAAGGATACTATCTCCTCAGACTGTAAAGGTTAAACAATGTTAGTTCTACTGTAACACACAGACCTGCAGTTTGAAAGTGGTGACTAATGGAGCATGAAAAGTGTGCGAGAGTGTGTGTGTAAAAGAAGTCCTGACTACAAAGGACACCGTAGGGTATGTAGTGCTGCTTTTGATGGACACAGAGCAGCTGTCTCCATGTCTCCACACACACACACACACACACACACACACACACACACACACACACACACACACACACACACACACACACACACACACACACACACACAAAAACAAACTCATCTTCAAACCCCAGGCAAACACATGGACATACAGATCAACTTTCATTCAAAATGAAAAAAACGCATGCACATTACGACAGTGCTGTATGTCCATATACATACACAATATTTTATTTATTTTTTATTTTTTAATCTATGATGGGAGATGTTTCAGAAGTTTGTCTTTGATCTGACTCTCAGGTTTCACAGATGTCCCAAGACAAGTGAATCCATAAATAACAAAGACAGAATGGAAATTTACTCTTAAGGGCACAAGGGAATGAGGGAGTGAGTGACGGGGTGAGTGGGGGATTGAGGGAGTGAGTAAACAAGCTATTAGCTGGCTTTAACATCCATTAAAGGTAAATAATTAAATAAATCAACAGTATTGTTCATTTTCATTTTCGCTGATACTTTTTTAATCTCAATTTAAAAAAACACCATTATAATCAAGGCAGGCAGAAGGACAGAAAGTACTGCTTTGTAGCTGCAGTCACGTCCGGCATGGGTGTGATAATTGCATTTCAGCTTAGCTACATATGTACAGGTTCACCATGCTCTTCTTCCTAGTAAGTTACAGTACCACTGATCTCACCATTCAGCCAGTTAGCAGAACTATGGCTGCGTGAGTCAACTGCCACTAATGCAGCCTTGTATCTCATGTTACACTGTGTCGGCACAGGAAATGCAAATGGCTTAAGCTGAATGAAGGTAAATTATAACTGCTAGAGGCA